GGCTGACCCGGGCTCTCACGGGATTCTCCTTCCTCCCTGCAGATCCCGAGGACATCGGCTGCAGTCCGCCTATGCATCACGTGAGTCGAATCGATCCCCAGTGGGCTGGTCCTGGGCTGGGTGGTCGCTACAGAAGAACGACCAGGGTGTCAGGTCATAGTGTCAGAAACTAGAGCGACGCTCAGTTATCACAGAGGATGCTCGTTGCTGTTCTGGTGTGAGCATCCTCCGGGTCACGTCCCAGCAGAGAAGCTGTTTCAGCCCCTTGCAGCAACGTTGAGCCACATCTCCTGCTTTCGGTTTGCTTTCAGACGGCCTCCGACGAGGACGACGCTGGAGGGGTGACCTCCAACGAGAAGGATCCCGAAGCGGTCTCCTCCAGCCAGGGGCCGCCAGGCAGCTCGGGCCACAGCAGCGTGGATCGCTCCGACAGCCCCAAGGAGCCAGCCGAGGAGCCTGAAGCCATCAGCTTCCTCGGGGCGCTCCGGATACCTGTGAGTCGCGGGATGCCCCTTGCGTCGTGACGGGGATGGAGGAAAGAGCAAAGCCAGGGCAGCTCACGCCATCACCACCACCGGGCAGAAAACTGGGGGGGGGAAAAAACCACCATCTGGAGGAGGTTCGGAGGAGGAGGCTCCCCTGATGTCTTCTCCTTGTCCCAGGGCGTGGTGGAGTTTTCTCTCTGCCTGCTCTTTGCCAAGCTGGTGAGCTACACCTTCCTCTACTGGCTGCCCCTCTACATCGTCAACGTCGGTGAGTTTTTTGGGGACAGGGAGGCGGGAGCGGGGCTGGCAAGGGGAGCATCTCCTCACCCCTCCCCTCTCCCTCGCAGCTCATTTCAGTGCCAAGGAAGCTGGGGACCTGTCGACTCTTTTCGACGTCGGGGGCATTATAGGTTTGTCACATACCTGGGTGGAGGGGGTGGATCGGGGATGATTTGGGGACAACCCTGGCTTTGACGGAAAGTTCCCTCCACGGAGTGCAGTGAGGTTTATTCAGCACTCACAGCACTTAGCAGGCAGCAAACGCCCCTCGTTTTTATTTCACCAGCCAGGCGACCATCGCAACCCCTTTCCTTGGGTCTCGCTTGCTCAGGCTCTCCTTTTTCTTAGATAAATAATACATTTTGCAAGCGTGGAGGGGAGCAGAGCAGGTGTAGTGAAACCATCCGCAGGGAGAAAGCGGTGTGGATAAATCAAAGCTCTTCACTCTGATATTATTATATTTAACCTTGGGGACACCTCGCTCCAAGGCTGGGGGATGAAAGAGCACTGCAGTGCAGCGTCCCGTTGGGTTTTGGGCTCAGCCAGGGCGAAGCTTTGCCGCCGGGGCGGCGTGACCGACACCTGCGCCTCCTTCTTGCAGGAGGGATCTTTGCCGGCCTCATCTCCGACTACACCGGCGGCAGAGCCACCACGTGCTGCGTGATGCTGGTCATCGCCGCTCCCATGGTGCGTTGTCACGCGGGGGAGAAAATCACCCAAGTCACGAGGGTTTCCTCTCCTGCAGCTCCTTTGAGTCACGGCCGCTTTCCTCTTCCCAAGCGCTCGGATGAGCTGGTCACGCTCTCCGCTGAGACAAGCGCTGGGATCGATACACACGCTCAGACACTCCCAGGGCCAGGGTGGACATCCAGATCTGGCGGCTGGGAGGGGATGGTAGAGTCCCCGACAGCTAAAAAAAAGCCTTTAGAGGTCTTTTTTCCCTCCCTTCTGCTCTGTCGTAAAGCGGTGGGGGTCCCACCGAGCCGATCCAGGTTTCATCTCTTTGCTTTGCATCCCGAAAGTCCCCGTGCCGACGGCCTCATGCTCCGCCGGCGCTTGGCTGGGACGTCCTTCCCCAGCACCTGCACGGAGCTCGTTTGGCCTTGCTGCCGCAAAAACGCAGCTAATTAGCTGTAATCTAAGCCTGGCCGGCTCTGGGTCGTGAGGTTCTCCCCTCCGAAGAAGGTGGCGCTGGCTGAAAAGTAGAGGGGCCGCGTCGCGTCCACGTCCCCCCGATCGTGCCGGCGGGGCAAAACACAG